AACGAACGTCAGGATTACTCTGAATTAGGTTATTAACAACTAATGATATCGCAGAGCCCCGCTTCGGCTTGGGCGCCCGGCGCGGAATGACAGGAAACATGAGTCGCCCAATTCGCGGAAACGTATACCGTGTACTCTGCCCACTCAATTCTGATGCTCATCACTCACACATCAAAGCTGCGTCGCGGCCCAAGTTGGAGTTTATTAGAATGGGTGTCCCGAAAGTCCCGTCAATAGCCCCCGTACGAGAGAGCATGGATAGAGCTAGCCAAATGGGGGTTAACTGTTAAGCGAGCTGAAAGATCATTTCATGGGGTTACAAATCGACGGTGTGAGTCGGCTATCACATAACTCGGTTTGCGACGTCGCATAGACTTCCTGTCATACTTTATTTTTTAAACGGAAAACTATACTCAACGGCAGGAAAACTGCCGTGATTTTTCTTCTCTGTTTGAAGTAAATTCTGCAAAATCTTCAAAGAATGATGTCACTTTGTTCTCCTTTGAAAAACTAACATAGAGGCAGAGATTTACAGGCACCGCAAACGAGATACGTGATTGCGGACTTACACCATCGAAATGATGTCTCGTTGATCTCATTTCGATAAAAATGTGCTTAGTTACACTGATTTCTAGGCAAAGAGCTCGAGCGCCCCTCGGAGAATTTCAGAACCTCTCTAGACGGAAGCTGCATTGTGACCGAAGTCACAGTTCTTTCCCTGCTAAAAATGATGAGTAGGCTATTCAGAATTCGCCGACTCACATGAGTATAGAACTTCCTTCTTATATGAGTAGAAATCCTACTCATATCACTAGAATATTCTACTCATAATAGTAGAAAAGTTCAACTCATATGAATTAATTTTTTTTCATTTTAGTGTATTTTCCGAAGGAAATANTCTCTAGACGGAAGCTGCATTGTGACCGAAGTCACAGTTCTTTCCCTGCTAAAAATGATGAGTAGGCTATTCAGAATTCGCCGACTCACATGAGTATAGAACTTCCTTCTTATATGAGTAGAAATCCTACTCATATCACTAGAATATTCTACTCATAATAGTAGAAAAGTTCAACTCATATGAATTAATTTTTTTTCATTTTTCAAAAGTGTTTTTTGACCAAAAGACACCGATGTAGTATGTTAATTTGAAAAAGAAGAACATTTTGTTCTTATAATTTTTTTGATGCGGTGACTGGTTTCTGAGATATCAGACACGGTAGATTTGATGCTGAGCTCGTGTGAGTTGAAATCTCTAGTCATATGAGTTGGAATCTCTGGTCATATGAGTCAGCGAAAAGTGAATAGAGAAATTCTGCTCATATGAGTTAAATTCTATTGATATAAGTTGAAATTCTATTCATATGAATTAAAATTCTACTCACATGACTTTGATTTTTTACTCATTTGTACTCACCATTTTTAGCAGGGTTAGGTGTTCCAGGAGTCTCGTCACTAGCCCCAGTATGAATGAACAAATAATCACTGTCGTGATAGCGAAGAGAGCAGTATAATAAGTGTCAAATTTTCGAAATCGAATCTCCTTCAAAATTCGTCTAATATCTTTTAGATGAAATCACTGAAATAAGCAAAACAACAAAATAATTTATCTTATTTTCATGAAAACAAGACATGAGAAAGCCGTAGGTGCGCAGAAAATGACGTACTTTCAGGCAAAACAGCAGTAAGTGACAATATTCCTCCGGAGAGCCAATGAAAACAGTGCTTTCAAGTAAAGTGCCGCCCTCTTCTGCGAATTTCTAACCTGACAATGTGTTTGTTGTGTGTCCGATACGCAACCACGAAAGCATGCAGAGGATAGCACTTACGACTGTCTTGCCTGACAATAACCTAGCATGAACATGAAAAATATTCTTTTTATGTGGTGGAAATAAAATCAGTCGAGTTTTAATCATCCAAACGATTTCTAGGAGTCTTTCGGCCGATTTGGGGCAATTTGACAAAGAACGGAGGTTTCTTTCAATAAAATTTTCCGGTCAGAAGCTTCTGAGCCCTTCTCAAAACTTCATTTTTGCACTTACTGCTCTTTTCGCCATCACGGCAGTAAAGCTAGCCAAATGAGAGTCAACGGACGTAAAAAATCATTCATCAGCTTTTTGACGCAGGCTTGTCCACCTAATTTCGTCAAAAAATCGCTAAATTTCACTCTTACAGTGACTTTCATGCTTTGAGCTCCGATTCCAGCATTTCTTGTGAAATTTTAAAACCTTTTCAAGATGAATCCCTCAGTAAATATATCCCGTTAATGGAATTGGACTAAGAAAAGTAGCCAGGATACGATGGATGTGATAGCCGTATTATTACAGGTATTCGTACCGCAAGGTCTTTACGCGCTTTAAAATGCCTTCAATCATCCGTGTAGGCAGAAAACCAACCGTCAAGCGCGTATAGTTGCCTACTGGATCTCGAGCCACCAGTTGCGAAGTCTCAGCTTCCGCAGCGCTAATATGAGTTTCACGCGCGCCGCCGCGCCAACTGACCGAATGCACTGCGTTTGGCGCAATGCAAGAAGTATTTACGCAGTCTTGTAGGCGCTAACATGGGCTTCTATGGTACCCATGAGGAGTTCCGCTTCGGCTGGTGGTGAGTTCTGGTGTAGGTGGGTGTCAAAAATTGGAAAAATCGCGCTACCTACGTAATTTATGGGCAGCCCCATATTGTCCTTCGTAGATCATATACAAGTATTTCGGTGGCTAATCGCACAAATTGTATTTTTCATTTCAGATTCGTTTCAAGTATTAATTCAGTACCCAGATGTTGTCACTGCCCAGTCTGCTAAACTGGTGAGTTCTTCATACATGAATGTTTTTATTTTATTGACATTGTATTTGGTTTTGTGTGGGGGAGGGGGGGAGGAGACTTTCGTTATGTTTTAGAACGCAGCCTTGTAGCCCTTTTTACGGATGGAGGGCGGGGCAGAAGGAAAATGGTTATTAACAAAGCTTACTCGCTGCTCCCGCCTTCATAGTCAGTTTGTATAATCATGTAAATTAAATTTGCTGCACTCATGAGGCAGTCTCGACAGTAAAGTGGGATGGAATTTGTGGAGCGTGCTTCTCGTTTACTTGCAATTTTTGCGTGAGCCGTTGAACCCTGGTTTGCTCTGTGAAATAATTATTTGGAATGTTTCTGAAAGCAAAAAATAACTAATTTATGATACGAGAGAAAAGGAATGATCTCTGTTGGGCTCGCAGGCGATATCTATATGATATACGATTATAAACGATATCAATTAAATATGTACTTATATGTGTTCATAAAATAGCTTTAAATTACCTACACTGAAACCCACTGTGCTGAAATTGAGCTTTTAGCATCAAACGATACTGGTATGTTCTCTTGAGCTAAAACCGCCCTCGTCTCTCATCAGACGCAGCAAAAGATCCCGGCCCGCTCACCTTATTAAAAAGGGCTCAATTAAGGGCCTTGCAGGACCGTGCGTAATGGGTCAGTTACGCTCGTCACAGAATCCTGTTTGGGTGCTTGATTCCTAATGAGATTTATCTAAATAGCAACTCTATACGTTCCGTATTAACCGAGATACGGCGGTTTGAAAAATTCAGTTTATGACGTCATCCACCGCGGTAGTGACACCCTTGGTTTCTTCCACTTTACTTCCATCCGAGTTTCACGTTGAGTAACCGGTGCAAATGTGTGCCTCCCTGACTGACGAAAGCAAGGTGGAAGAAACGAAGGGCGTCACTACCGCGGTGAACCGAAACGTCATAAACCGAAATTTCCAAAGCGCGATATCTCGGCTATTATTAAACCCTGAGAATGGAGATGTTGCATGTGTGAGGAATGGGCCTGTTGCAAACTTTTGCTAGAGCAAAAATAAGAGTTGTTTCTTATAGATAATGCCTCAAAAATCACGATGAGCGCATCGGCAAAGTCTGAAATGCACTCATAACTTCACAATCTGCGTAAGAAATTTGCGTTTTTTTAAGCTTCCCGCTTCAAAAACGATACTACGGCATAGGTGAACATTTTGTTAGAGGAGTCGCTCCATCGTCGGCGATATTCATCATGGCCGACGCTTGCACGCAGTTCCGCGCGTAATTCAAGGAGAGTTCAAGGTCAATCAATTCGGGCGTGGAAAATATGAACGTTAACACACCGATTGTTATCTGGTCTAATCCAGTTCAGGTGTTATCTCGTCCCATCAAACGTGTTTTGGCGGATTGGCGTCGGCTATGATGATTATTGCCGACGATGGAACGACTCCTCTTACAAAATGTTCACCTGTGCCGTAGTATCGTTTTTGAAGCGGGAAGCTCAAGAAACCGCAAATTTCTTACGCAGTTTGTGAAGTTATGAGTGCATTTCAGACTTTGCCGATGCGCTCATCGTGATTTTTGAGGCATTATCTATAAGAAACAACTCTTAGTTTTGCTCTAGCAAAAGTTTGCAACAGGCCCATTTGCGATTTGACTGATGATTCTTACTCAAAAAATCTTACACAAAACACGATAGTGCCACTGGCTTCCCCTAAAATCAACTCCCAAGCTCAAAAAAAGCTCTCAAGTTGAGGCCAAAATGGAGGGGATATCCCACGCTAACCTGAGAGTCCACGTCTACACCAAGACGAACTCTCCATGCAAAGATAGGGAGCAAATACATTGACAGGACTGCCACTTTAACTGGGGACTTCAAAACTGAAACCTGCTAATATATATTTGCTCCCTATCTTTGCATGGAGAGTTTGTCTTGATGTAGACGTGGACTCTCAGGATAGCGTGGGATATCCCCCCCCCCCCATTTTGGCCTCAACTTGAGAGCTTTTTTTTGAGCTTGGGAGTTGATTTCAGAGAAAACCAGTAGCACCATCGTGTTTTTCGCAAACTTTTACTTGAGAATCACCAGTCAAATCGCAAATTCCTCACACATGCAACATCTTCATTGCTGTTTGTAACACCTGTAAAAAATCTGATATTTTTTCTCAATTTGAAAGTAAGGCACGTTTCTCGCTTGGTTTTTTGCAGTCTCTAGATGGACAGAACGTGTACAACTCCTGCTGCACGTTGCGCATAGAATACTCTAAACTGACGAATCTGAACGTGAAATACAACAACGACAAATCGCGGGACTACACGAACCCAAGCCTGCCCAACGGCGAGAGCGGCCTGGACGGCGTAATCCCCGATCAGCTTTTGCCCCAGCTCCTCCTCACCGGCACAAACTCCCCCGTCGCCCTCCAGGCGGCCAGGCGCTCCCTCTCTCAGTCGGACCACACTCGCATTTCAGGTATGAGACCAGGGAAGAACTTAATTTATCAGATTTACCATGTTTACCGGTCATCAAGCTCATCTTTGGCAAGCTCTCTTACTTAAGTACATCCTATTAAGGTAATTCGTCCTTGTTTCTGGCAAGGTCAAATTGGCGTGTAATAGATCGCATTAATTAAGTCACAAATCTGGGCAGGTTTTGAATTCATAGCAAAAAAGAAAAGAATTTTTCTAAATAAAAACACTGGCAAAATTTGAAGAAATAAAAGCAGAATTCTTATTGGAAAGAAACCTTGCATTCTTTATGGAAATCGATAATTGTATCAAATGCAAGGTTTTTTTCCAGGTTACTTTTGTGGACACAGTATTACTATAATATGACGTCATTTCTTATCTTATTACTCACTTACTCACTGTCTTGTTCTCTAATTTATTCATGAAACTTACATGCTACCTAGCTATTAACGGAATGTATCTTATTTCCTCAGCTCCTGGCATGTTGGCTTCCCCTTTTACTCCATTAGCGTTAAATTCTCCCTTGGCTGCTTCCTACGCTGGATCACCTGTTAGTGGTGAGTGGAATTTTAATGTAATGTAAATTTTTAGCTCACTAGATGGATTATGTAAAGATCCAAACATCTTTCATTACTTTATAAATACTTAGTTTTTACTTATTAAGAAATCAAAAGTTTTTTAATCCAAGAAAGTACTCTGAAACAAAACAAAATATGCCTAAAATACCTAGGTGTTATGCTGTAGTACCTAACTGCTGGAATTCAGAAGATTCCACAAGGAATTAAAGGGCAAATTTACTTAACGGAGCCTGTCTGTGTGTTACGATTGTTACACCAATTTTAGCAAAAATTTGGTATTTAAAATTGTGGAAAAAAACTTGAGCCACCACTTCTCTTTCTTCTCTCTCTTAATGAGGTCTAATACTTAGTACAACTCTAAAAAAAACAAAAATACTGAATAAACCATTTATCAGACTGGTACACAAAAATAATCGATGTGATGGATGTGGGGTTAGTGACAATTTTTACAATGATTTCTTTACAAAAAAAAAATTGTATGTTAGAAAAAGGTACCAGTATTAAATTTGTAAGTCTGATACTATGCATAGCTAGAAAAGTGAACGCTCAATCCAAAAAAAATTAAGTTGAATTTTTAGTGTATGGGAGGTCAAATTGAACAGTATGTGAAGAAATTCACCAAAAGGAAGGAGATACAAAGAGACAGCGCGAAAATGATTAAACTAAAATTAGTTGTAGGCAATGAATGATCCATGAAGTCATAATTTTTGTGCAAGGTGGGGGGAAGGGGATACTTACTAAGGGTCTGTATGGCGATGCACCATAGCTAGGCTACAACACCGCCACACCCCACAAGCTGACGGTATGTGATGTTGGGAGGCGCAGGGTTCATTCATTCCTATGAGCAACCTGGCACCAACACGATCGCCCTGCATCCTCAGGCCTACAATAATTGGTTACTTATATTTAGTTTTAATGCATCAAGAACTGTATCCTAAAAAATCTTCAATGCTAACAAATTTAATTGGTGTGTGGGTTCTGTAACAATCCCTTCCTCTAAATTGAGTGTTTTAATGGTACAGGACTCCCAATTGGAGGATTCACCCTCCCTGGCACTGGAGCCAACTCAGCACTTGGTGCAGGGCCACTGCGGCTAGCCAGTCAAGTTCCAGGCACTTGTGTTTTACTTATAAGTAATTTAAATGAAGAGGTAAGACATGCTTTCATATAAATATCTCAATGAATCTCCCCTCAGTTCTTCTCTGTATTCTAGAGTAGGTATATTTCACTCTTTGAAAATTTAAGGATGGGCTCAATTCAACTCCTTCAGACTTCTCCTGTCATCGCCAAGGAATAAATTCTTAATCCACATTGCTAAGTAACAGCTCCGTATGTTTAGAGTAGTGATTCGGTGAAGGGCCACTTCTGTGAGACTCAATTGTTTTTACTCTCCCGGAAATTCTTTTAGAAAAAGAAAAATTTTAGTCAATATAAAAAATAACTATGGTTTGAAGAGAGTAAGAGAGGAGTTGAATCTGGCCTATTCTGCAGGTATTGCTCTGTTTGTATGCCAGTAGTAAAGTTCATAAAAAGTCTCACAATCCCATTCCACCTCCATTTTACTGTCTTATTGCTGAGGAAGTTTGTGAACTTGTTTTCCTTGGCACCTCCTTTGAATTTGGGACCTAATTAATGTTACAATTCATTCTTGTGTAATCTGATCATAAAAAATATGCAGGAAAGCTCCCCTCAAAGGACTGTATGATTGGTGAAGGCCGTACACAGTGACTCATTAAAGTTCATGCAAATAGATTAGATGCTGTTTTCATATTGGTGTAAACTTGCAATATATGCAAATCCTAGAACGCCTCCTTTGGATTTGCAACCCAAATTTCCTTTCCACCCCTTGGAGATTGGTAACAGTTGTTGTGTGTAGCACAAAGGATTCCTATTTTTCCTAAAGCTGAGAAAATAATTTCTTAAATTGCGCACTCATTCCTACTCACCTGTTCCTATTTTGCTTGTCTTACTTTTCTAAGACCCCCCCTGTACAACCTTCAATTTAGGTTGTTGGTTTTCCATTAAGTAGTTCTGGTCAGTAGATAGAAATATTTTAAAATGAATGTCACATTTGTCAGTCAGCCATCAAAGGCCAGCCTTAAATTATGTTATGTATAAAGGGTCTTAGGCAACATTACTTACAGGGAACTTAGAAGGGTACCTACCGAGTAAAATAATGGAAAATGGTTTTTAAGTGGCTCTTTTTTTTCTTTTTTTTATCATTTCTAGGGATTATGATGAGTATTTGCAAGAAAAATGAGCTCTCAATAGATAACCGTTAATTACTCACTCATTTATTTTTAACTAGGGGAGAGAGGTCAACGTTGCAACATTTCTTTAGGGGTGGGGGCGGTACAGTGTTACAGAGCATTACAGGAAGAATGAAGAGTGGGATCAAAAAACTGCAAATTTAGCATTCCATAATTCAGGGATGACCCTCTATTCAGCTATTCAGGCGTTCTAGGTGTAATTTGTATCTTGAAAGTGACACCTTCTTGCCATTGGGCGATATCTGATTCAATTCTCCTTTCGTTGTTTGAACAATACAATAGCCTTTTCCTGATGAACATTTTATAAGCTATTTTCCTGAAAATAGGATAGCACTCAAGGCTTCAGTAAGGACTTGTTAATAAGCAATATCAGGCTCTTATTGGCAGCAGATGTCTAATTTATGTGCATGAACCTAAAATTCTGGGTCTTTTTTTTTTATTTTATTTTTTTTTTTTATTTTAGTTATTAGAGTATATACCACTTTTGAATGTTCTCAGACTTCCTTTACAGTCAGAGGTCAATCTCGTATTTCAAAGCGTCAATTTTTTCTTAGTCACATTTTCATCAAGGCTTAATGAAGAGCACATGTTGAATGAATTAATGTTCATTTACTAGCTTTCCCCACTATCTATTATTTGAGCCCATATGATTAGATTAATCCTTGTCAATGAGTTTATTTTCAGTATCCCATTACTATTTTTCCCCGATGTAGGTATATGTTACTGATAATAAAGTGTTGCCATCAATCAAAGGTAACCGAAATTCAAAAGGCATAAAGTGCGTCTGAATTCCAGCCCCATTCTCTCAAAAACTACTATTAATATTAATCGATGAATCAAAAGATATAGAATGGATTTTTTCAAGTCTTCACTGGTAATACAAAACACATCGACCACGAAAAAGGGTTAGATACCAAGCATAATAACTCATGCGTTTTTGTCTAAACTGTAGGTACATATGTCACAGTAGATACAGTGAAAACTTCCTTTTTCAAATGGTAAATGAGAAACAAGCTTTTTTGTATTCGTAATTTTAAAAGATTCTAGCTCCCCAAAAAACCAAAATATACTTGAGTTGAAATGAGGCTCTAAACTAATTTCTTCGGTGTACTGAATCGCTCTACACAACCTCACAGACTCTGTGCATCAGAGGAGGATGGCTTTTTTATGAAGCCCGATTGTGAATATTTGTCAGATAATAAGTTTGTTTAAATAGCTGCTTCGACTTGATGTTGGGTTCTTTAGCATGTGGGAAGTTTGACTTTACTGATTTTGATGTAAGCAATGAATGATATTTTCTTATTTACATATTGATGATGGAAATTTTGGACATCGTGTTTCGTGTGAACTTCTGGTGAGAGCACATATTAGTAGCCCAGAAAGTTTTTAGGAAGCACAATAAGTTGAGCATATGCTATGAGTTGAAAAAGTTTAGGAGTACACATTCAAATGTTGTGCTGAAACAGAATTATAGAAAACTACCCCATATCAATATTAAGTACCATATGTTAAATTAAAAAAAAAAAAAAAAAAAAAAAAAAAAAAAAAAAAAATGCATATATCTGCATCAAATATTGAACAAAACTCATATTTTATACAGGCCTTCAAAGCAGTCCTTCTGGTTTTTAAATTGGGAATTTTTTTTTTTTTTTTTTTTTTAAAAAAAAAGAAAAATAATAACGATGATAATTGTTGGGCATTTACTTTATCCTCAGAAACATATACCTACACAATTAGAAAAACACTTGACTCGAAAATATATTTTACATATGTTTGATTTGTAAGTAGCTCAGCTCATAGCATTCATACTTCTAAGAACAAGGGCGTAGTCAAAAAAGCAAGTAAATGAATAAGTAGTTTTCAAGTTAAGAGTCCTTTAAATCTCAGAAACATTGCACTTAATAGATCATAATTTTTTGCATTATTCAAGGACGTCGATTGCTGTGATTATTTTCTTGCTGTGTCACCTACAAAATGGTACACAGACAATTGATCGTATTTGAATTTTAGGTATTTTTTTGAAAATTAATCACTTGAATGTTTTATTGCAGTAACTTTGGCTCACATTTCTTTTGCCTTATGATCCAGAGATTTATCTGCCATTGTTAGAGTGTCTTATATTTTGATATTAATGAGGACTGAAAGAGGAAGGAGTCCCTAGAAAATCTGAGTTTTTCTTTGAATCCATCATTGAATAAGTTGACATCCTGCCCATGCAACTTGGTAATTGACTCAAGAATATCTACTCAGGATTCTAACTGTCTAAAACTACGCTATCTGTAAAGTAGTCTCCTAGCTCTTGAGCATTCTATGTAAAGTAACATCTTCTTGCAACCCGTCCTCTCTTTTGAGATATCTTCTGCTGTTCCTACATCAAAACTGTTGACTTTTTGGCTACGCCCCTAAACAAATATCTACTCAAAGTGTGTGTCCTATTTTGAAGTTTACTAAAAGCTGATTTAAATTTTAATTTTCCATTTTTATTTGTTTATTAATCAACTCCTTTGCCACCCAGTCTATGATCTTTACTCTATTTTCCATTTTATCTACTTATTTTTATTTTATTTTATTTTTATTTTTTGCTATGTTTTTCATTCTGTCTCTTTCTGTTGCGGACACTACTCTAACTCACTCACACTCATGCTCTTATTGCGATGTTTCGATGTATCGAAATCGCTCCGTCTCGATTTTTACCTTCTGGCTAACTACCATGTCTCCTTGCGTGCTTCGTAGATGGTCACTCCAGATGCTCTCTTTACTTTATTTGGTACGTTTTCAAAACCAGCAAATACCTACTTATGAATCACTTTTTTATCCTTCTTACATTATTCGATCATTTTATTTCTTTCCTTATTTTGTGCAAAAAAGAGTTTGATCTCACAGGGAGCTCATCAAATTTGAATGTTAAAATTTCACTTTCATTTTTTCTCCTTTCATTCAAGTCTTCCAGAAAAATTAACTAAATATTAACAGTTTTATATACCCTTTTAGTTTAGAATTCCTAATGAATCGTTCATTCATGTCATACATGTATGCTGAAAATGAGTAAACTTCACACCTATTTCCTCCTTTTTTCCCCACTTAAATACTTTTTTTTTTTTCAATGTTTGACTCTTTTCTCAAATTTTATGTGAAACCTCTCCAGGCTTATTGATCAAATGAATGAAAAACAAGTTATAAAATTTTTAAACAAGAAAACATAATTTAATATCGCATCAATTTAATTGTTTAATCACCAAACAACTCAATCTGGGTGGTATGTTAAAAAAGTTTCTGAATTTGCTCTGCCATAGATTCAAAATAAACTGCATCGAATTGACAGTGAGTGGTTTTAAAACCTGGAAAATAAAAAAAACAACAATATTTTAAAGCTAGCTCCATTCATGTGATTAAAAGTGCTCTCTTGGAATTCTCATATCTACCCGAATCTGCCATGCATTACAATTGGGCTTTGAAGTCAGTTAAGCTAATTTTTTGTAGCAACTTACCTCACAAGAGGCAACATCAAATTAGGGTAAAGCACCCAAACTGTGGCTTTTCATCTAGGCGATTTTAAAATTTGGTTAGTAGGTTACGAAGTAAATATAAATTTTTTGCACTCTGCTACCACATACAGGGTGTCCCAAAAGTCCGTACCCCCACCCCCCCCGTAACTTTTGAACGCTTAGAGATAGAAAAACGAACCTTTCAGAATGTTTCTATCTTAAAGGTGACCTTCTTCTAGGGGGCTCAAAATTTTTTTTGGGGGGGGGGGCGCAGGGGCCCCCAACTTTTTTTTCAAATGGTAAACCCTATCTTGTGATACATCATTAGAAAGAGCATAAATAACTAAGAATTTTGGCGCAAATCGCAAATCAATATCT